GTGGAGTTTCGTGGTATTCGGACGGGTAGTCGACAGTAGAACGACAGAACGTTAACCGCTCGGAGGCAACCGTCTCGTGTTGTATGAAATTCGCAACTGAACTGAGCTGAGCACTTAAGAGTCTCTTACCCGCCACTCGAGCCCCAAGTTCCATACCCCAAACACCATACCCCATACCCCTATCCACAGATCATGGATCTCAAGCCCCGAGCTATAATATACAAGCTCGACTCGGACGCTCTGGCCAACTCAAGCCGGCAACGGAGCGTCTCACGTTTTGTTTTCTTTTCGTTTGCGTCGTTTTGTTGTTTTTCGTTTTCGTTTTTGATTTGTATTTTTTCTGCTGTCTGCCTTCTTATTTTTTTTTATGGATTTTGGCCAGAAGAGCGGGCTGAGCTGGGAGCGGGTTGCCAGGCGAGTTTCTCAGCTTTGTTGGCGCCTAACGTGTTTGCTCTGGGCTCTCAGAAGGGTGGAGAGATGGCTTGGCCAAGGGGCTGAAGCTGAGTCAGAGGCAGGGGCAGGGCAGGTGGCCACTGGGTGGCTAAGTAGCCGAGCACGTAGCTCAGCTGTTCTTCGTACGCGCTGCGCGTGCGCAGCTCAATACCTTTCGCAAGTCGTTCGCTCGGTGTAGATACACAGGGAAAAAGATGATGGAGAATCGTTTCGAATATACTGATACCCTAACGACAGGTTTAAGGGAATTTACACTTGACTGGAGTTTCAATGTTTACTAGGATGGTTAGGCTTAGTTTGATTTGTAAAACATAAATTTATATCTTATTAAAGTTAGCCTTCTACTGAAAAGTTGATTTAAGAGACTTGAAAAGGTTATTTTACTTTGCCAATAGAATTTCCACAATGCTAAGTAAATAATTTTAAACAAATGTTAAACAAATTTAAGCTAATAATCTTGACGTAAAGAGCTGAGTACGCATTGTAAGATGAGCTCTCTGGAAAACCCATAGTTTGGTAAACAAACTATTCAGAAGTTAATTTTCAAGAGGCTCGCCGGGTCAGCTAACTCCGAGGGTATCCACCGATCAGTTAGTGCATTCCGCTGGTTTTGTTTCAATACGACTTTGTTTACCTAACTCGAGTGGTGCGAAAAGGCAACACTCGGGCTTGACTTACTGAGTGACTGACTGATTAGTTGCCTTTTTGCCATTTGCCGTTTGGATTTGGATTTTGGTGGCTGTCTCGTAAATAATTTAGTGTTATGAACGAGTGCGAGAGCGAGTACGAGTACTAATGGTGGGCTGGTATTTCGCGGGGTTATTGACGTTTGTTTGAGTTTGCCAGCCGGTTGTGAACTTTCTTTTCCGCATATGCGGCAATCAATTCGCCATGCACCGCAAAGCCTCGACTACTGCAATTTGCGACCGGGGCAAACTTTCACCTGGCTGACGGGGCGTATGAGTGTTAGGATGAGGATGAGTCAACTGCATCACTCATACGCCGCGTGGTCTGTACCGATGGAAATATTTGCATTTTACCTTGTTTGCAATTCGGTTCACACTTGATTTGACTGCCGGTAAACTTTATCGATATTTGACCTGTTCGCTGGTCTATAAACTCCACTCAACTGACAAACGCACGGCCGGGACTATTGTTATTTAAGCCAATATAGGGCAAATTACAGGCGAAATATATTGGTATTTATTGAACCAGAGTTTTAATTGCTTGCTGTGAATCAGAGTGTGACGACTAGTATTCGAAATCAAAAGCAGCTGACCAAAAACCAATCGCTAATGATTCGGGGCGAAATTCCTCGGCTGGCTACCAAATAAAATTTGATTTTAATTCGCACCCAGACCTCCTGCATACGGAATTTCTGAGCAGAGGACAATAATTGGTCCTGGACAGCTACGTGATTCTATTTCGGAAGTAGGTTCCCGGAAATGTTTGAATAAGCGAAAGATTCCCAGGATCTGAATTGCTCACGCAGATGAATTCGGTTTGTGGTGGGAGGGGATTTGGCACACACGTGAATCCATTTGGCATCTCAATTATGGTCAGATCTACGTGGGTCTCTTCCTCTCCTCTCTATCTGGCCACAATCAGCAAGGTTATCTTAAATGAATGCACTCTAGCTGGGGCTCCAAGTTCATCCTCATCTTTATCCCCGAAATTGGGGTGCGAAAAAACACGAAAATGGCAATGGTTCTTGTTGGAACTTCGACTGCTTGATACTCTTTGATGGCAAATAGCTAGTTTAGTAGTTATTTAGCTAGTTAAACTACTTTACTTATTTTAAATACAATGTTATACATCTTAACCTAATAATTTCAGATCCCAACTTGAAAGTCTCTCGGATTTAAGCACATTTTTAGAGTGTTTTTAGTTTCAAATTCCCTCCTTCAGTTAGTATACCCCTTATAGATACTTCTAGCAAGTAAAACAAGCGGAAATTGTTCCAAGTCTCGTGTTGATTTCGCACTCTGCCGCGAAGCAGCTGTTTCTTGGCTGGTTTTTGCCTTTGCCTCTGCGGTTGCAATTATGCCAATCTCGTGGATGCCACCAAGTGCACACTCGAAGACAACGTTTCAAGTTTACCTTACAGCACGCAGTTTTTAATCGCAGCCAGCAATGGATGGCTGACCTTAAACATCATCAGACTTGGGTTACGTGTAGTTGGGCTAGGGCTTGTCTTGGGTTATGGCATTGGCGGGGCATTTACTCAAATGGGTTTGGCAGAGGCAAACAAACAAAAGCACTCTCACTAAACGACACAGCTGCTTGGGCCTGAATAGAATCGATTAACTAATTCCTGCAATTCAATCATTCTTACTTATCTCACTAAGCCACACCCTATAATTATCTCAGAGTGAATGAAATCTGATTGATGGCATTAAATGAAGTGCAAAAAAGGTGTTGGTTTCATATTAAAGTAACCTGCAGCCTCCAGATTCTTCATGAACCTTCCACTCTTTTTAATGAAATAACAAATTAAATCCCCTGCTTCGCTGTGGTCTGGTTTTATCTTCAGATCTCTGCAATTATTTCATCTGCCTTGGCTGTGGTGGCATTTGATGATCGCAAAATTAGTTTTAAATTGCAGCTTGTCAGCCGACATTCGTGTAATTTGATGTCATTTTAACAAAAGCTTATCTGCTCGGACGTGAGCGAGTCACTAAACCAAAACATGTCAAGGTCGCCATTTAATTTCGTAGTGAGTACGTTCATAGATGATTTTCCTCAAAGGGAACTGTTTCAGGGAATAATGCTTTAAGAAAGCAACTGCTAAGTCAATTGAACTGGCCAGTTGGGACTGCCCCAATTTGTAGCAGTTGCGTTTGGCCAAAATATTTGGACTCGAGGAAACCTTATAAATCCAAAGCCGATTATGTTCTACGAATTGAAGGAACTTGCAAATGCAGACCGAGGTTCAAAGTTCTCTCCTGCCTTAGCAAACTGCATGCCTGGAAAGAAAGTGAACCTTGCCCAACTTTCAAACTTTCTTCACAATGCAACCATTTTAAGTACAAACACAAATGCAAAGGAATCAAATTTTTGTTCCTATTTTCGTTGGATGCAAGTTTGCCGACCTCTATGTGGCCATGTGGTAAACTGGAATTTCCATTCATTTCGGCAAGCATAAATATTTCTAAAGCTTTTGTGCTATTTCCCAGCTACTTTAATGTTTTTCCTCCTCTTCAGGCTAAACTGGTTGGCTGAATAAAAAAGAGGTCCTATTTGAGGATTTGCCAAAGAAGCTAGAAAGTTGGCTATGAAACGGCTCATTAACCTGAAAATCGCATTAAAAACCCGCTCAAAAATACATTTAATCACTCGTTATCAGTCAAGCAAAGCCATAAAAAACCCCACGCGAGTGTTTGTTTGTTTTTAAAGGGGAGCCGGCAATCGGATCAGGCTCATTATGGGTATGGGCATGGGTGTATACACACGTCATCAGCATAATTGTTGCCATCCCCCAAACACTCGTCATCGTGCTCATTATTGTCATTGCCGTTCGGCGGCATTTAAAATTTCAATTGTACCGCCCTCCCGCCTGCCCCCAGCCATCAAGCTCAATAATCGGGCCAGCACGTGTCGCGGCCACGCCCCCGACAACTCGAAGCCCACTGAGCTTGTTATGGCGAGGTGCACTGAAAGAAAGTATGCTTTTACGATTAACCTTGGTAATTTATATTTATGAATAATTCTTAATAAGATTTAAGTTCAAAATAAGTTTAATATCTCAGTTTAATGATCTTAATTTATGAACTAAATTTTCTCTCTGTGTACTGCCTTGGTTACACACGTTCTCTCTGTTTATTCGCGTTTCCATTCACATTTTCCGCATATGTGGGCCAAAATGCCTTTCGGCCACGTTTATTGCCGCCGCAGAGAGCCGCATCATTTGCATTTAAACGGCGCCGTGTTACCTGTGATTAAACGCAACTGCAGGACAGCTCGTAACCAGCTCATTCGGCAGGGATTTATGGCGATCGTTTAACTCCCAATTGTATGTTCATTCCGACTTTTGCCTGCTCAGCAGGGGGAATGGTTTTAATTTACGTAGTTGGTTATTTTCTAAAGCCTTCAAAGCAGGTGAGCTTGGAAAAGCCACATGGAAAAGATCAACAGGAAACCCTTTGTGTGCTCTTCAAAACTAGAACGGCTCTCGATACTAGAGCTCACATTTTGGTATGGGTAATAATTAAAATTAACAGTGAAATATAATATAAAATTAAAAGTTTGATTGCTTGTTTTATGAGCCGCAGGTTTCTGGGAAGAGCTGACAACACTGATAAGAGTCGCCTCTCAATAAAGGTTTTTGTCAGCTAAAATATTGCATTGGAAAATAAATCAGCAAGAAAAAATATTTTATAATAAATCAGAGAATGAAATCCATTCAGCTTCATCGAATCAGTAGAAGTCAATAGAAATCCGATAACTTGGAATAAAACATTAATAAATTGTATAAAAAATTACTAATGGGACTCATTAGATTTTTGTGGGATTGGTTTAGAAGAACAGACGAAGACCTTAGACTTAGACCTTAAGCAGAAACCAAGAGGCAGCGATTGACTATCTGGCGAAGGAGATGGATAAGACGCAGACGAGAAGAACGAAGCGTAAGATGATCGCAGAGTGTAAGAGAAGAGTTGACGACGATAAGACGTGCTCTTGAGGAGCAAATAGAGCAGAGTAACTTAATCATAAGTTAATTAAGAAATATGAACTTTACTATAATACGCTGGAAGACGAGGTTCTGGAAAATCAAAACTTCAGCTTATCTTCATAGCTGCAATGTTATAAGACTCGGACTCAGGACTGCAAAGCGGTTATTCCCAACTCAAGAATGAAGATCGGCGGAGCTGTTATTACGCTGCTCTCTTGGTGCATTGGGCTTGGTAATGGACAGTCAGCTATATCATTCCTGGAGCCGAACTGTGGCATTTCGCTGACAGAATCTCGTAATGCAAGAACGAGGATTGTTGGTGGTAAGGTGGCAGATATGTTCGGAAACCCATGGATGGCCCTGATTAAAAGCGATGTCATGTGTGGGGGTACACTCATCACAAGTAGTAAGTTATTTCCACTCAAAACAAACTAAAGATTAATATAAAAACACTTTTAAAACTTACAGAATTTGTGCTTACTGCTGCACATTGCAAAAGCAACAGGCCCACGTGAGCATCTTTGCATATAAACTTATTAAAACAGAATTTTAATGGTCATTTTTACAGTGTAGCATACCTTGGAGAGTTTGATACGACGACCGTCATTGATTGCTCTCCAAAGGAATGCATGCCAAATGCCATTGCAATTTCTGTCGATGCTCAAATCACTCATCCCAGCTTCGTGAATTACCTGGAAAATGACATCGCGCTGTTTCGACTGGCCAGGAAGGTTCAGTACTCCGGTAAGAACCTCAAAGATCCCGTAAAGACCTCTCAACTCATTCGCTTTTCCTTAGACTACGTCAAGCCAATCTGTCTGCTGACCAACTACAACCCACTGCCCCAAATCAGATACCTAACTGCCACAGGATGGGGTGTAACCGAGTACGGAGCATTGAGCAGCGTTTTAAGGACCACCACCTTGACTCAAGTAGATCGATCGCGATGCTCCGCCTTATTTAGAAGGGTGGGTATGTCGCACATCTGTGCCGGAGGCTCTGCTAGCCATATTTGCCACGGCGACTCCGGTGGTCCAGTTTCGGCCACTTTCAGGTACAACGGTACAAACAGGGTCACTCAGGTCGGGATAACCAGCTATGGGCAGGTGAAGTGCAGAACGGTATCGGTGTCTACCAATGTCATGCACTACATGAGGTGGATCGTGGACACTGTGAGAGTGGAAGAAGCAAGACTAACAACCACTAAACGGGCACCAAAGAGGGTTTCTAAAGTACATATAAGATTTCCAGGGAAGAGTAAAAGCTAAAGTCTTCGATTGAGTAATAAAAGTATTGCAATTGGAAAATTGAAATTAAAAATGATAAATATAAATAAATTCTTGTATTAAACACTTATAAGTACTGTAATCGAGGAGAAGTATGTGAGGAAAAATTTGCATCTGTCTGTAGGAACGCAGAGATATTGCTAGCTGAAGGAGATATAAAGTTTATATTAAACATGCAGTTTCTAGAGATGCTTAAGGTTGATTTTGTCTGCCATCAAACTACCACAAATCCCGAAAAATTGGCTTGCTTATTTGTAAAGAAATGAGTAAAAACTTAGGGAAGAAGTATTTATCAGTAATTTGATGTTAGTTCGTTTTCTAGCAAGTCTGTTAGTTTTAACAAGTAAAATAAAGAATAATATAAAAAGTGCCAAGAGAGTTTACAGAGAATAAAGATTTCTTACTTGTTCTCTCTAGATTGCAATATTGACATGAATTTCTGGGAATTCAATGTCTGTGTCAGCTCCTCCTTATCGTCAACGACGGGAAGGCAAGTGCATAAAAGCCCAGACTCCGCTTTGGGAATCTGTTATTCCGGACATAATCATGCACATAGCCACATCTCTTATTATTCTGCTCTTTTGGGTTGATCTCGGACATGCAACTATATCCCTACTGGAACCCAATTGCGGAGTTTCCCTAGCAGGATCGCGTGTGAGCACCAGGATAATCCACGGAGAGGTGGCAGAGATACACCGAAACCCTTGGATGGTTCATATAGATAGTGAAACCACTGCATGTGGCGGTTCCCTGATAACAAGCCGTAAGTATACCAAAATAATCTGAATTAAGGTAGAAAATAATCAAAGGCGTGAACAGGTTTTGTTCTTACTGCTGCACATTGCCAGTCGAGGGGCCGTACGTGAGTATTTTTGAAAAAGAAACCCGGAAGATTGAATCAATAATTCCCCCCCTTATAGAGTGGCATATCTTGGAGAGTTTAATATATTAACCCGGAGGGATTGCACGAGACAGGGTTGCATACCCAATGCCATTGGAATTCCCGTGGATGCTCAAATACCTCATCCCAGAAATGTGAATCTTAACAATGACATAGCTCTGTTTCGCCTGGCCAGGAGGGTTCAGTACACAGGTAGGAAATCTCATAACTTCTGTACAGATCTCTTAACTTCCTTACTCCCCGTAGACTACATCAAGCCGATCTGCCTGCCGACCAACTACAATCCTTTGTCCCAAATCCGACACTTTACTGCCGTCGGCTGGGGTGAGACCGAACGGGGAATCAATAGCAACGTCTTAAAGACCACCACCTTAACGCAAGTGGATCGCTCGTATTGCTCAGCTCTGTATGGCAGAATAGATATGTCTCAAATTTGTGCCGGAGACCGCTCTAACCATGTCTGCCGCGGTGATTCTGGGTCTCCAATCTCCGCCGTAATAAAGATAAACGGGGTAAATCGCGTCGTCCAGGCTGGACTTGTCAGCTATGGAGATTACGCCTGCAGGCAATTCTCGGTGTTCAGCAATGTGATGTTCCACATGAACTGGATTGTGGATGTCGTCCGACGCGACGGAAGTCGAACAAATGGAAATAGTAATCGGATTCCCAATAATAATAGGCGTAGGCAAGGTTGATTTTTTCAGATCAGCATTCCTAAGAAAAAGTAAAAACACTTTTCCCTGCCCTTCTTATCAGTGCAGTGCAAACGAGGAATATTCTTATCTTTGGATTCTGAATGATCAGGGAATTATAGAAAGTTATAGATATTGCTATAAAGATTAAAGAAGAAGGGTTAAAAATCTTAATTATATTCAAATTATTAAAGCAACCAGATTGCCTGAACTTAGATTAAAGAAAGTTTAGGTCTGGTCATGATTTCGCTGTTCCACTTTATCAGTTCGCGCCCTCTCTTTCTCCGTCACTCTTCCCATCTCCGTCGCACCCAGACGACAGCGTCTGTCACTTGTTGTCGCTGTCAATTAAACGTAATCCCTTCGGCAGAGTTAAAATCCGCTCGTCTTTGTGCATTTGCGAGCTCGTGTCAGAAGTCAAACTAATTTTCGACCTTTCGTCTTTGCTCCTTCGGCTTTCATCGCCTTTCATCGTCCGAAAATAAGTTTACTGGGCACAAATAACGCTCATTAGCCGTAATGAGTTATAGTTGGACTACAATCCACATCGGACGCCAAACACTCTTTAGCGGCAATTATGCTGGGCGGGGGGAGCTTTGCTTTTTTATGGCCCTGCTAGTCATAAAGTTTTGAGCTATAAATACTTTGGCCAAGGGCCTTTAAATGGCGAAAGGGTGTGGGCCTGGATGGAGATGGAAATGGAGATGGGGGAGTTGGTGTGCCGGCTTAGGAGACCGCAAATTGTTTGACATTTGGCACTGGGCCCCCAAGAATCCTTTCCTGAAACCGAGTAACCCTCTATAACTCCCAGCCTGGTTGCTGTTGCCGTTGTGTTATTGTCACTTGCCAGCGGCAGTCCTGTGTTATTCTATCCAAGTTTTCCATCACACAACAAGGGCGAACTTTCGTTGTTAATTCGTGCAAGTTTCGGGCAAGTATTTACGTGCTTCGCCAAGAAACAGACACAGCAACCGAAAGAGAGGGGTCTATGGGCCTGGAAAGAGAGGGCTAGAGTTACTAGCAGGCCGGCTGCTGTGAAAGTTTTGTATGTTAATGGCATAGTTTAGGCAAAATGTTTTTACTGACGCCTGCCACCCGACTCGACTCCCCTCCTCTTAACTCCATCTCACACTGTTCCACAATGTATATCCACATCCTGAAAATTTTCGAAATCCTCTGCCTCGCCCGGCTCACATTTCCCGACCAAAATTAACTTTCACTCGCCACATCAGCCCCTCATCGCTCACTTAATGTGCCATTGGCCACGTTAAGTGACTTTCTTATGCCGGTTGTAAAATTTCCTCTTTATATGGGACCATATGGATCCTGTGTTTGCCACCACCCATGTTTTCGGTGCACTCGAAGAACAATTACCAGAGAGTTGGTGCTTAAACTGGAAAATAACAAGTTGCCTTAGTCCAAAGATAACTTAAAAAAGATTTCTTAAGCCTTTGCTAATTTCAATATTACATCAAGCAATGCCTGTTGCTGTACAAATAAAAGAACTTCGATTGAAATATTTGTAACTTATTTATTGAAGGAAAACTTTTAAACAGTTTCTCCAAGTGCCAGATAAAACTTGCGCCAACATAGCTGTGGTTAAATATGCCAGGACTAAGAAAGCTTGTAATTTACTTGAGTACACCGCGCTGCAGATGTCCTTTTGGCCCTTACCACGGTCGCATGTGGCTGTTGGCCAAGTTAAGCCATTGGCAAAACTTTCACCGAGATAGTTTGAGACATTTTTCTTTTGATTTACTTGGGAAATTTGAAACTTCTTGGCCTGCTCACTCGAATGTGGAAACTATTAATTTCGACTCGATGCCACTGGATGTTTGGATTTACTTTTAGCCGGTTTCCCCTTCCATCCCTCCTCCTGTGATTATTGCTAATTAAATCTAAAGACGGCAAACCAATAGAAACTGAGGTGAGGGGTAACCTTTTACTTGGCCGCACCTGTTGGGTTCTGTGGTTCTTCAGTTCGTCGAGCGCTTCGAGTGGCCCACGTACGTAACCACTTGATGCTCGAGGATACAGCACTGCTCAATCTCATCGGCATGGGCATCTTAGGTCCCGGCTTCATCCTTCGGCTACTTGTGGCTGTCACAGCAACGAAGGCAGCAGCCACTTGCCGTTGCAACCGTATTAACATTCTGCTTAGCAACAAATTACATTCGGCCGGGGAATGTGGCCAATGAGCCACTTCAGCTGAGTGTTTTCCACTGAGAGAAAATTATGGGAGATTTACTGAGAAAAGGTATCAAGGTAGGTGAGGGTAAAGATAAAATATATTATCGGCTATGCCACTCAAATTCTCAATCTTTCTTCCAGTGCTTTCTGTTGGCCAACTTGCTTAAAGCATCCACCCCAAGTGCAGTGGAGTTTTGAAGTAACCGCTTTCCCGACTTGCAGATTCAAGCAGTCGGAGCTGGGGGAAAACGACGAGCACGGGAAATGATGATGGCGATGACGAGGTCCTCTCACGAAATGAGCAGAGTGACCAAACACAATTTCCGGATGAGGGCGAACAGCTGAGTCTGCTTAATGTACAAAGATTGAGTGCGGCAAACTTAAACAACACGGCTTTAGCAGTTTGAGTTGTTGTTTGTTTTGATTAAAAATTAAGCATGTCCTGGCGAGGAATAGGAACGGGGAACGTGGGCAGGGGGCTGGGGGCAGGGACCTGCAGTACGTGCTCCGCTTGGGGAATTAGGCGGCAAACAGAAGTAAATGCGTTCCGTAATAAATTCAAATCAACTTCGGATGCCAGGCTACATGGTCATCAAATCGATTGGAACACCAACTCATATACCCACATACATACTTTATAGCAATCCCGGGGTGCTCTTTAGTTTTTGCCAGCTATAAATTTTAGCTGCTGGGTCCCTTTTCGGCTTCCGTTTTACAATGTTCACTTTGCAGATCCAACACGGACTTTGTGCCGACTTAAGCGCATTACTCGGACTCCGGCTGCGACTCTGGTGGCCGTTCTTGGGCATGGGTCTGGGACTGGGACTGGGACTGGGACTGGGACTGGGATTCGAATGGAAGGCAAAGTCTCTTAATGTCTTATCGCTTGTGCAAATAAATAAGCGGCCAATGGGCAACGGGCAATGGCATTCGGCTCAAGTCTTGTTATCCTGGTTGAGCAATTGATTCGTCCGTTAACTGTCTTATGCAAATTTCGTTGAGTGATTCAATTAGCAAGCGTCCAGTTGGGCACACGTGGCGTATGCTTAATAAACTAGGGCCTAGGACAAGATGAGAATCACCCAAGGGAAAAAAATCAATTGAAGTAATCGAGATAGGTATATCTTTTTTTGTCTTGTTCAGCTTTCGTCAATTTCCGTTGCCTTCTTCTTGAAATCGGCAACGGAAGCTGCGAGGCCGCCATTTTGTATGCAAACACGGCAAATGGCTTCCGGCTGCAAATGCCATTGATTAGGTCCTTAGAGAAACGGTGATTGCACTTATCGGAGAAAGGAAAGTGACAATGGAAATTAAAGTAATTTTTACCTTAAATTAGTTTACAAATAAGAAAACAACTTAAGAAAGTTCATTTTTAAAACCCAAACTTTTACTTCCTCATCCGTATAATGATGGTAAACAGGGAATAGGCACCTTTTAGCGTTGAAAAGAAGGTGTCCAGGTGGATTCTCATCATGCCACCAGCCACGGCAGTGCTCTTCTTCAAGGACTGCTCCACGAACAGCATCATTTTCCGCTTGAAGCTCCTGCCTTGAGTGTGCCAGTTGCAGCTGAAAGCCGCGTAGTGGAGCCGTCCAAACCAGTATTCGTTGTCAGTGCCGAAATAGCAGGATGGAAAGATCTGCAGGGGCATGGCCAGGGAGTAGAAGATGAAGTACATCCGAGCCATGGGCTCACTGACGAAGAACACCAAGCCCGCAATGCCGATGCAGACATTCAAGGCGGTCACCGTGAACTGAATTAGCATGGGTAGGGAAATGAAGGCCTCAACACGCCGGAAGAGTCTGGAAAACCAAAGTTAGATTGAATAATAAATCAAATTAAGAGGAGAACCCACTCTAGAATATGTTTGTGATCGGTGATGCACTCCTCCAGTTCCTTTTCCGCATTCTTTGATGGATCCACTCCCACCCCCTCAAATCTCTGGTAGAGCATTTTAATGTGGGAGGAGATCAGGCACAGTACCACCGCCGGAAAGCAGTCGCTCACATAGTTTTGCAGCAGTTGGAAGGAGATGCCAGCGATCTGATAAAAGTTCGCTATGTAGTAGTTCCTGGTGGAATGGAGCCAGTCGAAGGGGAACCAGGCAGGGTACATCAGACCCCTCTGCTCCTTGAACAGAAAGGACAGCTCGGCGAACAGGGCGCAGGGCATGTAGATGCCGATAAAGATGTACAGAACGTTCCGCAGCTGCACCCGCACCTGTCCGTAGATGCCACGTTGTTCCGGGCCCACGACTCGCTCATCCAGAAGCCTCAAAAGCCTCTCCATTTCCAGGACGTCCTTGATGTTATAGGCATACAGCAGGCATTTCACCGAGCAGGCTGTGCAGGTGGCAAAGGTCGTCAGGTTGAGGATATCTTCGGTGAGGGTTTGGTTTCGAAAGAGGGACATTCCCAGGTGGAGGGGATAGCAGAGGGTCACAAACAGATTCATCACTATACTGTAGGCGATGTAGAGGTTCCTCCAGGACTGGACTCGAAGTTGGGCCACTCCCAGGACTCGCCAGGCAGTCCAATGGCTCTTGAAAAACTCCAGACTGTCGACTGTTACTTCTTTCATGGCTCCTTCCTTTGTTTTAAGGTTTAAGCTGTGAGTCTCCTAACTTAAATACCATTTTCTGATGGCTCAATTGGTGTGATTGCCCAATTATGTAATTAAGCTTGCGTGGTCACTGTAATTAGGAAATTTGACTATTGTGGCCACCTGCCTATGAACTATGGCTTCCCATTTAAGCTTTGGATAGGTCCGGCTACTACAATTAGCTATCATAAAATACCGAAATGTAGAAAATTTCCATCCATTTTAAGCAAATTGAAAAGCTGAAATTTAAAGGAAAGTTCCCTCCTCTCACATCCTTGGCTCGTATCCCATATCACAGTACCTGCCAAAGGGGATAAACATTTGAATGTGATACATGTAAATACCATTTCCAGGTGAAATGCAAAAGTTTCTCGGCATCCCGGACTTTGTTCTGCAAACAATCTGCACTCCATGCTGACTCGAACAATGGCAACTAAAATGCGGAATTATGCATGTCACAGTTTCAGGTGAGCAGTTTGGCAAAGCTCCCATTGCGATGCCGCTTTTATAATTAATAAAACCGACACATAAATCTCTATTCTCATTTGGCTCATTTTGCATTGCCATGGCCGTGGCTATTGCTGCTTTTGTCAGCGGTTTTTGTCGCTCAAAATTCGTGCTAAAAAGTATGCTACAGAATTTATGGCCCACTCGCTGTCAATTTTGCCATTTTACAAGCGAACATGCGAATTTATGGCGCATTAAATTATTCGCTTCGTAAAAATTTCAACGCTACTGGAGCCGGGGACTTACTTGATATTTCCACATGGTGCATGCAATTAGCATGTCCAGACGCAGGCGAGCAAAAAACATGTTGCCATATTGTTGACAGCCCCATAAATTGTTGCATGCACGTCGAAATGGCAGCGGGCCAAACAAACACAGTTACAAAATCCGGAAAGCGGGGCCAATTCGGGGAAAGTGCGGCTAACAGCCATCGCAAATATGTGCGCGCAGAGCATTTAGATGCATCGCAGCCTGCCGTTCGAGGACAATCTAAGGTCTTAATTGTTGCATTTTTACACAAAATTCCCAGCGACATTGTCACACAGTGTCTCCCATTTATTGTATGCAAAATCCGTCCCCTCCGTCGCCTCGTTGCTCCAGAAATGCTTCCATGTCCGGATTGTGGATGCCATAACCCAATTACAGAGTGTGCCGCAAGTTGCCGGCCGGATGAAAATGTCGTTCAATGTTGAGCTCAGTGCATTGAATACGTGCGCCCCATGTTGCAAGTTAAGCACAATTACACAGCGCTGAAGCTGAGGGGGAATCACGTTATTTAGGGTCCATTAGACGAAAATATGGAACTAAGATGGGCAACATTTTGGTAAAGTCAACGTGGACGGGTTCTAGTTAATGAATTATATTAAATGTGTTAAGTTAATTAAGCTTGGAATGTTCTAACACAAAATATGAAGTGTGTCTTTGTTAGTGTTTCTTATTAAATATTAACTTAACTTAAAAAGTACCTCAAAATTTGCTAGTTTTTTCATTTTACAAAGAAAACTTTAATGGCTTCCTTAAGTAAGAGGTATTTTTATGAATTATAATATTTCTATGTTAAATTTTTGCTTAAAAAAGTTGTTAATTGCGTAATAATTAACACTTTTGCTAAGGGGGAACTCTATAAAATTCTCATTTTACAACAAATTTAAGTTTACCCACCTGGGTTTCAAATTTTTGCACCCCCGAAACTAAAAGCCAATTTGGTTGCCCCGCCATAAAGCAGGATGTGCAACTTGCATACAACATTAGCTGCTCCCATGAAATGGGGAATATTTAGGGGAGCATCTTTTTCCAGCGCCAGAGATCGCGGCCCAGCTGCTGTCAGCAAATGAGAACGACAACAATGTAATTATCATAATTAAAAGGCAGCCCCAGTCACCGAAAAACCAACCATCCACGTGCCCGCCGAGCCAAAAAAAAAACTACGTCGACCGGTCACGGCGGTCATGAATTTCCTATTAACAGCCGTTCCCAGTGAGAAAAACAGCGACCAAGATTCATGAGGGAGATGGGGTTGGTTGGAGAGGGTCTAATAGGGCGACGGGGTGGCAGCTGCATAATTGGGCCAGGTCGCTAATTGTAAAACGGTGCGCATTAATTGCGTCTGCAGCGTTGCGCATTTTGCGGTTCCTATTCCCCTTCCCCATCTACATCCCTCCCAGAACCCAGAAGCCAGAGCTCAGAACCATCCTCCCTCCACGGGGACCACAAATTGCGATGATGAAACTCTTATGCAATTGCTCCCCATTTATGAAAGATGCGGTACGTGTTGCTCGTGGGGCGGATGCAGCTGCATCCGCAGTGCATTCTTATCAGCGCTTCTTATCAGTGCCTTTCCGAACCGCCGAACCCACCACACTGGAAAGCCGGACACTCGCAAACAGCTGAGTCAGGAGGCTCCTCTTCGTTGCGCATGCCCAGGACTTGGAGAGGAAAACATCGCAGTGTGGTTAAGACTATAAATTAAATTGAATTCTAATCACTTTTTGTATTTTTTAAGCTTAAGAATAGAAATGTTAATCGAGATTTAAATATTGATTTTTCTTTTTATATTTTTAGTAATTTTTTGTTAAAGTTTTAATGAATTCAACTTTTTCCTGTTCAATTTCTAGCTTTTCTCAAAAGGTTAAGAAATATTTCAGACTTTGATTTAAAATTTAAAGTTGTTTTTCCTCGTAAAAAGAAAAATACAACTTACATCTTCGAAGAGCTCGTTAAAGTTAAACCGAAGTTGCATGCAACAGTTTACTTTCAGTTGCCAAGGCTTGGCTTATCAAAGCCGCGAAGCCGCCGCTTCCAGTCTAATCAGAAACATCGCTGGAAGGTTGTCAAGAGAGGACTACAGAGAGCGAGAGCGGGCCCTAACCTGCCTCAATAGCGGCTTTCACTTTCTCCGCCGCCAAGTGGATGCTCTGGTCCACAGACCCACAATGGATGCTTCGGCTGACATCGTCGTTTGGTTTCGTTTCGGGGCGTGGTGAGTTCGCGTGCGGACGAAGCCGACTTTCAGGCTGGAGTTCCGATGGCCGCCACCGGACTTCAGTTCGTTCTGAAACGCGTCGCGACGTGGTTATGTGTCCAACGAGATAGTCCCAGAAAATACTTTAAAAACTATTCCGAATCCATCGAGCCAAAGATCGCGAAGTGAAGTGGTGAAGTGATCAAGAAGATGTCTGACAAGTCTGTAAAAACAGCAATGAGAGCTTAAAAACATAAAGTTAAAACTTAAAATTAAATACATTAATAAATTAATATTTGAAAGTGCAATTAACCCTTTAGGTAGGTAAGGATAGCAGACTGAAAAACACAAATAAAATGAAAATAATCCTTTTCATCCATCCATCTCTTAATAAAACTCGTCGAAGTCGACAGCATCGGTTAACTGAACCAAAAAAACTGTTTCTTACCCTGCATAACATTTAAATTATAAAACAAAAATTGGTATTGTAAGTTTCATGCTGTTTCATGCCAGCCATTGGGGCGTATACGTAATGCCATTGTCCGAACGACAGCTTACGCAAATCTCATTCAGTTTGTCTCAATTGTGCGCCTGCATCTGCGTGCATTCGGAAAGCGGTTAAGAACTTAAATTCCCGGACATATGTTGTGGATTCAAGCCAAAAAATAAACACACACACACAGGTTATAAATAAGCAGACAAAAATGGAAAAAAGAATCATCTGCACTCAGTGAACTCGGAAAAAGTCCTCAGTCAGAGTCCTCTGTCAGAGGATTTAATGGCCACACGAGGCTGCTGCCCAAGTGAAAGTAAATAGAAAATTTCATTATTTTCCACTGGGAGATTATATATCCAGAGTGAAAAAACAGCAGAGTGGGTGCAGAACACACCTACAGGCCTGCAAGTCAATTAATTAGGAGAAGGCCGCAAGTCCATATGGAGAATTCCGAATGGAGGCCCAGCGATATCATTCATACGCCGTGTGTGCGCTGCCAGGCCAAGTGTGAAATTGTATTTCCACATTTACTTTGACTCGGAACCAGGCCAAAGTCCATGGTCCAGACTTCTTCTTTCTCTCTGGCAAATTAATTAAACTCCTTTGTTTGGTTCGAAAATTCCGGGTAGCAATTAACTCGGCGCCATTTCGCCAAATGAAGAAATTATGCTTCTTTGATGTCAGCACATTTCTCTTTCTGTTCAGACTTAGACTTACTAGCCGACGACCTTATCCCAGTTAATTGCCATCCACCAACCACCAGCGACTCAAATCCGTAGCTTCTGTTTCAGGTCATTGTTTTAATTTGGGGCATTTACCTGCACGCTCTTAGCCGGTGTTTACTTTCACTTACCCTTGCCATCTATCCATTCTGTCCATTCTGTCCATTTAACTTTGCATACAAATGGGCCAACTGGGCGCTTCTGCTTTATGAATGCAAATTTGCCCAGCCTCCTGCTGATGCCTGCAGTTTGCCATTGACCCATGCTGGGAGGGATGCTGATCCTGTGGCTGTGGCCCTGCCTGTGGTGTCACTGTCAGTTTCAGTTACTTATTTGCATACAGTCGGAGAAATCTGGATGAAGGGGTTTCTTTCGAGAGGGGGATCAATATTCTAAGGGGGTTGACTTAGATAAATATTAAAAATAGATATGGTTTATAGGGTTACTTCTTTCTTGACTCCCTTTTCCTTTTTATTAGATTAACAAGTTTTTTACTTCCTTTTATTTGCTTGTTTAAGAAAAGTTATTTATCCCCCACTTTCTCCCAGTGTGTCCTTGCCCACAATAGCAACAAGGTACAGAAAAACGGCGGCAAATAGTTAAACCCCACGTTGCTGCTGTTTTGCCTTCCACTTACCCGCCGTTTACTTTGCGAAGTCCTTTTTTTAAGGCTCTTCTAAAACTTAACAGATATTCCAGAGCCAGGCGCGGACTTCCCAGCGACGGATTTAATGTAAATAAGAAGGCGGCTGCGAGGGAAAGCCGGATGAAAGTATGGCTTGAAAGCAGCTACACGTGTTTGGGCTCAAATGTCAAATTGAGAATCGTTTAAAGAGAGCTTCCTTCCTTCCCACACTTGCTCTCAGATATTTTTGGGCGGGTTGTTGTGGCTTCCCACGTTATCCTGGTTGGTCAATCGGTGAATGAGCTTGCATAATTTCAGAGACAACTTCTTAATCCACCTTTCAGCAATGTAATTACATAGGCAGTGGGCACATTGAGAACAATTTCGTTAGGCGGGCACTTCCAAACGGAATTTGTAAGGCGAATGGAACAAATTAAATCAGCTTTTGTTCTGCCAGTGCATGTGTGTGTTTATTTTATTATCATTTCGACTAAGCCCTTAATTCATTTGACCATTAACACGAGCTACGCAAATGTAATTAAAAATTGAATAACCAAAACAAAAAAAAAATTGTTTGATTACATTTAAGCTGGAAGGTCATAAGAATAGCCAAAGCTTTCTGGCAGTTTTCGTCACTCTTTTAAGCCTGAGTGTGGGCATCCAACTTCTGTGCTTTGCAAAGCCCAGCAAATCGGCTTAAAGGCTCGGATTTAATGTGGAAAATTATTAATTATGCACCGGGAATGCGGACCAATGTGTGTATTCCCTAATTCTACTCCAAGGTTAGCCTTAACTCCAATACAAAGTCACCGAGGCGGGAATTTATAACTTTGTTGCATACTTTGTGGCGCTGACATAAACTTTCGCTGGTCCAGTGTTTGAGTTTCCTATTTGACATGCCATCAATTAATTAAGGACAACAGCGTTCACAGCTCTTTGCTAGGGGGAAATAGAAAACCTCGGCCAATCAATCTAATTGACCGACCCACAAACAGGCAGACTCAATTATGGTAAAAGAGGGAAAAAGGTTGATCTTTTAGTGGGCTCCCTTGTCACGCCCAGTCGTTTAACTATTTAGTCGTTTTTCACATTAAATTAGTTATGATTGTGGCGTGTTAAGCACTAATTAAACTCGCCCGATTTGCGGTGCGGCCGAAACAAATCAATTATTTAAGCAATTTTAAATGCACGCACCCTGCCTTGATTGACGGCCTGTTAAAATCACGCCCTCGAAACGCCTACTCATTAATGGCCATAGATTCTGATGGTTTACCCAGCTTTGAGTTCCGATTGGGGGTCAACAAGGTAAAAGGTTATTTGCTCTCCAGCTTTGATTGAGTGCCCTTTGGCCAAATGCTTGTTTATCGGTTAAGGCCAGGCCTGACAAAGGCATATCAACTTAGGGATTTAATATTCCACGAAATCAGAGAAACTCTAAGGAAGTTTTTATGTTTGTTTGATTGCTTATATGGATTATGGGTTGCAATATATACTATTTAATATTTAAATTTATGATTTTTTAATGAACTCTTCATCTTCGCAATGTCTTCCCTCTTCGTCACTTAGGAAATACCAAAAAAGGTTCTCGTTCTCGATTTCAAGGCCCCATGAGTGCTTTTCCTTTGGCGGTCAGTAAACGAAACGAATGACAGAATAATTGCCATCGAATGCCAAAGTTGAGTTACAATCTGGGCGAACGGCTTTTCCTGCCAGTCCATTCTGCGGGTTTTCCCTGCTGTCCCTGCAGATGATTTGTGCCTTTCTTTCAGCACTTTTCTTTTCTATATTTTTTGCTATTCTTTTTGTTTTTCTAGCCCCAGGCAGCAGGTGCTTTGAGCCGAGGTTTCTTTTGCCTGTCCGTGATTGAAACGCTTGCAAATGGCAACAATTGCGGCGGTTCTCTAAATAACAAATGGCCAGAAGACGGAGCACGCAGAGGACGGGGCAAGTTTTATGGCCCGCCTCCCAGGACGTCTTCCCTGCAACTTGTTTGGCCAAGTGTCGTTTCCAAGTTTTCCCTCTAGTTTCGACTTCGGAGCTTCATTTCTGGTCGTAGTCCTGGCTCTGGTTCTGGTTGAGCGGTAAGGGTTGCCCGGCTGTCCTGTAAAAGTGAATTATGGCGACAGTTGTCAGCGGAACTTTTAAGCTGCCTACGGAGCAGAGACAAAGGATGCACTCCGCTGGGGACATGGACATGGAAATGGGATTCGGCATTGGGAAACTTCCCTGGCAAGCATATCATTTGTCAGGCCCCAAGACCCACGGAACTTCCTTCTGCTTCTGCGATTGAAGCTCAAACTTCAGCAACAGTCAAGTGTCAAGGTTGACGGCTGAATGCACACTTTGGGGCAAGGACACGTTCGCGAAAATCGTCCTCTTAAATTGTCATCTGTATGTGACCCACACTGGCTTTTCGCCCCACCTCCCATCTTTGTCCTGGTCTACAGGACAATGCCATGGAGGCTGCTGGCGGAGGAGCAAAGACAAGCATTTCACCGTCACTTGACTGACAAGTCGTGCGTGTGGGCGTGGTCGCAGTGAAACTGCCACCGCCCCTCTTTACCCCTAACTTTCCCTGCTACTCACCACTTTGCACTCGGTTATTTTAGTACACACACGCTGGCCTCTGCAAACAGGTTGGGTATGCTGGCATTTCGCTGGGAGGGCAATCAGCAGATGCCAGGAGATTCGCTAAATAACTATGGAGAACGCGGAAAACGTATGTGGAAAAACAGATATGTAGAAAAATAATATTCCTGATAATGAGGGACCAGGAAAATACCGCAGGAAAAACAAGAAGATGGAAGGAAAAATAACATTTCGCTTTTAAAACCAACAATAACTGGATTAATATTCTGATGAGATGTGCATAAATTTACTTTGAATTATCAATTTGAAGTTTTGTTAGTTTAAATATTAGATTGATGATTAAAAATTCCGGCTTCCTGAGTGATTTAAAGAGTGAAATGTGGGACATTCATCTAAGCCAAAGCAAATACAATTCACTCTGCTTTGATAACATTTTATTCAGCCATAAATCATTGATTAGGAAGATGTCAACAAAATATGTTAAAGTAAAGGCTTAAGGCCTTAACTAATTTCATATATATTAGATATCCCCTAGTCGAACCCTAAACTACATTCCTCGGAATACCTCCTCGTCTTACGTGGGCATATGTGTGTGTGGGCTTGTGTGCTTAAGCACAGAAACAGACATACACACCCACACTCATGTATTCCAATGGCATTGTGAGGATACGAGTATCCTTTCGCCGTGCTGCCTGTATTATTTAATGACGCCATTGTCGTCATTCCAGCCCGGTCTGTCCTGCGTCGAGTTGATGCGTTGATTGCTGCCTCACTTGTTCGCCGCTTTTATTAATTTACGAGCTGCGATAAATGCGAAACCGAATGGAAATGACCCTTGGCCCGGGCCCAGAAGGGGGTGGAGGTGGTACCTTTGATCTAGATAGAAGT